AAAAATAACTTTCAAAAAATACATACCAAAAAAATGCTACTATTTTTATCTTAGCAGGTAAAGCCCACTGAGGCATTAACTTAGTTTTCAGAAGCGACCTGGCCACAAATTATAGCTCAACAAAGTGGCTCATCACATGGAAATGTACAGCAGCGGAGTCACAAGTAGCGGGAGCGGTTGGTGCGCATCGCTGCCGTCACGATGCCTCCTCCTCCTCGTGTTGGTGAATGGGGACGTCGAGTCGTCACGAGTTCCGCAGTTCTCTTCTGTTCTGAGTGACCACGGTCTCCGCCGCACACCCCCGGACAGTTTGTTATTTTCCATTTGTGCGTCGAGTATCCGCATCGTCCGCCACGAATCATGATGTTGAACCGCTTGACGTTTTGTTTGTTGGCGCTCTGCACGTTTCTTAAATCTCACCCCCCTCCACTCCCTGCCACCACCCCCCCCCCCGCCCACAGCCCCGACTGCTGTAACTGTCCATTCAGTTGTATAAATGCGTGCACCAGAGTTAGTCTGTGATCAGCAGGTCGGTCTCTTGTTGTGGGTTGTATGTATGTTGAACTTCTTCCGCGCCGTACGTAGCCAACCGTGATAATCGGGAGGTGCGGTAGCTCCCAGCTCCTCCCAGACAGTGGCATGAACCGGCAATCACAGAGAGCTGCACCGTTGCCAAGCACAACAATCAATTTTCTAAAAGTAATTATGTTTCTCAGATTTGTTTTTGCTCAGTTGGCAAATTTAATTTTTGCTGAAGCAGGACAGGGGCCTCAGTGATTCCACCTCCACCACCACCACCACCCCCCCCCCCCCACCACCCAAGCACAGCCCATCATCAGCACCGTCGGCCTGTGCACTGCGTGCTTTGTGAACACGGCTCGTCAGCTCACGGTGGAGCAAAAAAAAATCCATGCTGAATGTATGATTAGAGGGTGGCAGGGGTGGTGAAGATGTAATGCAGTATTCATTGGCACGACGGCAGTGCCTCATGGATACCAGATTATGTTTCCTTTCTATATTTCTTCATTTTTTTATCGTCAATATCGCCGGGAACATCTCTCGCTGAGTTTCCAGACTGTTTGAACCCTGACACCGGCACGCAATGGACTTACGCCTACGAATTACGTCAGGGGATCTTTAAACTAAACGATTAAAATGTAACTACAGTAAAACCTTGCATTGCGAGTAACTTGGTCTGCGAGTGTTTTGCAAGACGAGCAATTTTTTAAATAAATATTAATTTGATAAACGAGCAAGGTCTTGCAATACGAGTAGTATGTATACGCTTTGTCTACCGAGCGTCACGTGATCACAACTGATATACGAGTGCTTTGATATACGAGTGCTTTGGATTACAAACACGTTTCCGAAACGAATTATGCTCGCAATCCAAGGTTTTACTGTATTTTTATTTTCCCCCAGTAAGGTCCACTGAGCTATATAGATATTTTTTTTATAAGGGACCTGGTCACAAATTATAGCTCAACGAGGTGGCTTATCATTTGGAAATGTATAGTCGCCAAATCCTGTAAACGCGTGTTGATTCTAAACATGGAGGGGGAAACCGGAGGACCCAGAGAGAAATCCACATGACCACGGGGAGAACATGCAAACTGCAAATATTACAACAGGTGGCAGGGTCGGGATCGAACCCACGACCTCCTCTATATCAGACGAGGTAGTTAACATCTCGCCACCACGGCTCTTCTTTAACTTCCACAGTGATAGTTTTGTGGTTATTATTATAATCACACCGGCAGTAATAATCGGGGGTGGCCACTGGATTTAAACCGTGAACCTCTGCAGCCAGCGTTAGGCCCACGTCACCGCCTGGAGCTGCTGTCCGCGGTGCTGACACTGGGAGCCGTCACTTCACGCGAGAGCAAAGGGAGAGGAGTTAATTCCACCACTCGCCTTTGACTCATTGGCGCAAGCAAGGCATGGGGGACACTAATAATAACAATACATAAACTAATAAATACATCGAACCGCTCCTCCCTCCCCACCAACACACACGCGCGCCAACGCAGACAAAAAAAATAAAAATAAATTACACTCTGTCGTCTTCTCTAAATACTTTATTTTTTTTAGGGCTCTGATATTTGGGAATTGGTTTCAATGCGCCATCATGCCTCCCGATTTTGACATCTGCTCCCCGTCACTTTGATTTAATGCGAAATCGTCGCTTGGCGGGTCAGGAGATAATGAGCGTAGCCAGTGGAGCAACTCCGCTCAAAATTCATGACTTTTGAAGGGACACAGATGCCACAGGGCGAAGTGAAATATTTCATTTGTGGAATCTGTTGCATTGCGAAATAAGTCTAGGGCACTCGGAGCATGAAGAGCGAACATGTTTCTTGGTCGGCCGTTTAATTCTGTAATTGAAGTGAGATGCACGTGACATGTTGCTGCTGCTGCTGCTGTTGTTGGTGTTGTTATTCCTTCTTTCTTTTCATAATCACACTCGCTGCACACAGGGCCCAAAGGGCCATAATGCCAAGCGGCCAGCAACAAACAGCTCCGTTAAAAGTCGTAAGAGTTGCAGAGTTAACGCTTTTTTTTTTAAGTGAGCAAGGTTTTGTGAGAGCTTGGGGAACAAGGCGATGGGAGGGAATTCCAAAGTCGAGCTGAGTGAGTTGTGAGTGGGTCGGTGAGTGCATGGGTGAGTGAGTGAATGAGCGAGTTGTGTGAGTGGGTGGGTGAGTAAATGGGTGAGTGGGTGAGTGAGTGCATGGATTACTGAGTGGGTGAATGAATGAGTGGGTGGGTGGGTAAGTCAATGGGTAAGTAAATGGGTGAGTAAATGAGTGGGTGAGTGAGTGCGTGGGTCAGTGAGTGAGTGTGAGCGAGTATGTTACTGTGACCTACGGTAATGATGGTTGAACGCAGTGTGGATGGCGACGAAAAACACGGGTCGAGGAGTTGACGAGCGAAGTTCCACGTGAACAGTAAACAGTGGCAACAGCGATAGGAGAGTGGTGGGGAGGCGAGTGACGGCCGGTGACCGAATGAGTGCCGGACCGTCAATAAACCACGACTGTGCTGCTCGTTGAATTCCGTCGAGTGCACAGTGGTAAGAACTTGGTGCAGGACCCCAGATGTTGACAAGAGTGTTCTTTTGTCATCTGCTTCTCAGAGGTGGAATGAAAACTGAATTTTGAATGCGGTGGCTCCTAGCCTCTGTGCCTACCCCCCCGTTACAGTATTTCTTGCCGCTTGCTATGAACTCATAAACTGTGTGGGTGGCAGTCATGGACAAATTCAAATCGCTTCGCCCGGTGTTTTTAACCTGCCTCGCGATATCGTCAACCTTCACGCGAGCGTGTGTGCGTCGCCGCTGCAGACTGGTAAGGCAGCGACGCCAGAACGTCACCAGGCCGGTGCGCACATCTCCCAGACGGATGGAAAATTGAAGACACGATCCACAGCAGTGCAACACTTTGCCATGCAACCCAAACTGTGGATCGTTTAGTCAACCCATGGAGACACACAGAGACTGGTAGAGACACAGAGACCCATAGATAAACGTTCAGATATATAGAGACCCATAGAGATGCATTAAAGAGCAACCACATTCGTGCGATTGTGACTATGCAAACCAAACTGTGGACCAGTTAGTAAATCACTGTAGTCTGCACTTTTCCAAAGAGGAGGAGGAACAGCAACACGACGAGAACTCTCTCCTAAAGCCTTCTCGTCATGTGCTGGCATCGACCTCCTGAGCACATTGTCACACGCAAGAGTAGAATCGAAATCCACTGCTGGAGGAAGGCCTCCCAGGCCGTCTCGCATTTACATTCATGCGTGTGGCACCTGCACAGCACCAGATTCTATCGCTCCATCTCCGTGATGGACGTTAGCGCCACGGTGGCGAGATATTGACTGCCTCGTCTGGTATACAGGAGATTGTGGGTTCAATCTCGACCCTGACACCTGTATATTTGGAGTTTGCATGCCTCTCTCCCCGTGGTTGCGTGGATTTATCTCCGGGTCCTCCGGTTTTTTCCTCCACATTTCAAAGTATCTGGCTGCTGATGAATGTCCACGTGATGATCAGCTATCGTTTGTGGCCGAAATCGCTTCCGAAAAAAAATCTGCGTGGCTCAGTGGGTTTTACCTGGTAAAATGAAAATAAAATAGTTGAGGTTTTAGTTTAGTTGGGATTTGCCAGTGCTGAAAGACTACCTGTAGATTACTCTTTTGGGTTTGCACACGGCAAAATCGCCCCCCTGTTCGCAGGACCCTCCAGCAAACGAGTCTTGAGACTCCGCAAGGCTTCCCTCGGTTAAACAAGCGCGGTAATCATAATAAAAATTAATAATGTAGCAGAATGCTCTTGTTCAACAAATACAGTAGTTTCTTTGGAGCGAGTTGCCCCCTTTCTCTCTGCTGGAGAGACATCGAGCGCCTGGAAGCTGCTCCACGTTTTGAGACTCACAAACCGTCGGCCAGAGCTTCCTTTACCCGCCACTACCAGACGAATCCTTCACCGCGACTCGTTCGGCGCTCTGACCGACGTTTCGCTCCGCCTGCCGGGAGCTATGCATTTCCACGCGATAAGCCACTTTGATGAGGGGTAATTTGTGGCCTCCGAAAAGTAAGTTAATGGCTCGGTGGGCTTTACCTGGTAAGATAAAAAAATAGTAAAAAAAAAATTGTATATATATTTTTTAAGTTATTTTTTTTACATTTCCTCTACTTTGCACTCGGGTCGTGTTTTTGTATTGTTTGTTGTAACCTTCTGCCCCACCCCTACTGGACATCGGTGAAAAAGAGCTTCATAGCTCATCGGATTCTTCCAGCATAACTAAATGTTCACATCCCGTGCTTCTTCCGGGAGCCAGATCGGGAGACAATGCGCGGAAGACTCGAAGGTCCGCTCCCGTCGCCCGCGTACCACGACGACGAGACGGCTTTGCACCCTTCGGCGCTGTCGCCGGTGACCTCTTTTGACCTTGACCCCCGCGGGATTTCGTTCGTCTCCGTTCGTGCCGTCGCAGCGCGAGGCCGCGAAGGGCGGCAGTCCTGCCGAGGTGACGACGCTGACGGCGACGGCGGAGGAGGCGACGGCGCGGCCTTGCGTGCGGGACTGCGGCTGCGTGAAGGAGTCCGGCTCGGGCGCGCAAGCGTCGCAGCGCAGAGCCGAGGTGGCGCTCGGCTCCGCGCCGCCGGAGTCCGGCTCTGGGGCCGCCCCCCCCACCGCGCGCTTGGAGCCGGGCGGCCGGATGGGCGCGGAGGACAGCTCGGAGCAAAGCGGCGGCGGCGGTCGGACGCAAGAGGAGCCCGAAAAAAAGTAGTTTTGTGCAATTGCAAGATTGCACTGAACTTGCCTGCAAGTGGCACAAGCACATTTGTGGGGGGCCTGTTTCGTGATTTCCCTGCACCTGTCAAGTCACGTACGCGCGTTCATTAAAGTGGCTCGTAAGTCATTGGTTTGAAATTCTTTCTCGACGCGGGCACACTCGGGGTGCCAAAGTTCGAAATGATTTCTCGCCTCGGGGTCCAGGCACCTGCTCATGCCTCTGGCACGGGCGAGTCAACAACTTTTGACGTCGCCCTTAACGGGTGACGTCAAAAGTGGCCTGAACTCGTGTCACTGGGTTCATGACGCATTGTGCTGTTCACTGCGCCGCCGCATCTGTGACACATGTTTAGAGGTTTACACAGCAATCCCTTATATTTGCATTTATTTCATTTTAATCCATTGTAAATTTAGCAACAACTCATTTGAGGATATCAAATTCCACGGCGGTGTTATGTAGGAAATCTCATTTATAGAACCCCTTATAAGTATAGAGTTGCTCCGTGTGACATTGGGAAAATGTAGACCCCTGCAGTCAATGCAGATGCACAGTGAATTACATGACTTAACCTCCAGCGTCTCAATCAATGAATTGATTTTCTAAATGTTCGTTACTAAACACCTCTTCAATTGTGCTGCTTAACTCTCGAATCCGACACCGACGCTCTCTCGCATAAAGCCGTGGGCGAGGATTACTCCTTTAAAACGTCTCGGGGAAAAAAAAAAAAACAGGACCGGGATTGAAAGCCGTCGTAAGCAGGATAACAATAAAAAAACGTGCCGCTAACGGGGCTCTATTAAAGCAGGGAAACAAAAATTACGTCCCCAATAAGAGAACCCTTCTTGTGCTGCAGTGTAATTAGGAAGTATTTGATGTCCCTAGCATCGATCGGAGGGTATCGCGCTGCACGACGGCGTCCATCGGTTGGTGGAAAGGTATCGCGATTGGGGTCGGCGTGGTGCGGATCTAATAATAGTGCGAGGAGCACGCGCCACCATCACATGCGCGCCCGCCATGGACGTGGCCTGCACAGTCTTCCAGTAGATTATTATCGATGCACCACATCGGGGCGTTGATTTGGAACGGGCTTCGTCCCTGTTCGCGTACCGGGAAAGAAGACGATGATGATGATGATGATTATCGTGAGAAGTACTGGGGATGATGACAAGTATGGATGAACCGTCGCGATTCCCCGATCGCAAACGTGGACCCCCGTTTGGTCCCGTGTCGTTTTCAATCGTTTCCGTCTTGTTTTGCGTCGTGAATTTTTTTTAAATAAGTCTAAAAAAAAAAAACCTTTGCTAATCCACTGCTGGATGAAAGCGAGCCTCCCCCATCCCGTGTCGGTGCTTGGAAGCGCCACCGAAGACCGTCAGCAGCAGCAGCAGCAGCAGCGCGAGCACGCAGTTGCAGGGCTGCCCCCTTCTTCGAGCGACGGGGTGGAGGGGAAGGGGGGGGGGCAGTGGCAGCTGCGGCGGGAGGGATCTGGAGCCGTTTTCAAAGGGAGCGTCGCGCGGAGAGTCTGCCAGCTTTATTGATCGTTCGCTAAACAAATGAAACGCACGGTAACGCATCTAAGCACCGTGGAATTCATGGCTCATGGAAGCAGAAGTAGCTTTTTTTTTTGTTTCACGCGCGCAAAATAGTTTTTAAAAAGTGTTTACCTTTCGTGTAATCTGTTTTCTGCTCCAGAGAAGTATTGCCTGGCAAAGTACCGAACGTTTTCCCAAATGTTCCGCTGGTGAAGGCTGTGGTTTCTATTAAAAAAAAACAAAGTTTCAACGCGTGTAATACATGAAAAAGATGGCAGCTTGCACTGCTCACTGATACATTATGCATACAACAAAAGGCAACCAACTAGAACTTTTTCTTTACTTGATCCGGTCACTTTTGAGCGAGCCGTAGAGGTGCGGCCGGCTGGCTCAGAGGTCAAGAGGTCAAAGCGCCGAGCCGGCACCCGCAGATATATCCGTGATTTAAAACCGGGTGGTCACGCGTACGGTGTGAGGTCTACGGCAGTGTTCTTCACTCATTTTCAAAGGGGGGCGGGGGGGGGGGCACGTTCGCCGAGACGACATCGTCAGTGTGAGGGACGACCACACCGCCTGCAAGGGGTATTGTTGGAGGCTGCACACAAAGACAAAGAGCCCCCGGATAGCCTTTAACAGACCGTTGAGGCAAGTGCTGTTAGCGAGCACCTATGAAGGCCGGCACGTAACACGGGGGGGGTGGGGGGTGGGTGGCCAGCACCATGCCCGGTCCCCCCAGTCGCGATGTTTTTACCGCACCAGGTACTCATTTGGGACCGAGTGGACCTAGGGGAGGCCCAGGACCGGTGCAGATAATCGTCACCGGTGTTGGCCGCGAGCGGGGATCGAACTTGGGTCAGCTGGGTTTCAGAGCGCAGCGCGCTACCGCTCCCCATGCATACACACACACACACACGCATATACACATACATGCGTACAGAAAATCGAATCGATCAAGAGAGATAATCAATTAGCTACGAGGGGACACTTATTGAAGTTGTGAAGTGCGCTGTTTGATCCACAACACGAGCCCACAAATGGACTTCTCGGCAAGCAAAGGCACGAGACGCTTTTGCCACGTGCGCTCGGATGTAAATAAAGTCCCCTAAGCCGCCAGGTGCGATTCCACGTCGCCATCGGCCGGACTAATATGAACTGGACGTCTGTTACTATTGAACATCTATGAAACAGAGCTTTATAGCTCATCGGATTCCTCCAGTGTAAATAAATATTCTGATGCTGAAGTAAGGCCTCGGAGGGCATTTAAAACGCTGACTTGAAAAAGAAATCTGAATATTTATACTGGAGAAATCCGATGAGCTACAAAGCTTTTTCTTTTCTTACAGATGTCCAGTCGGGGCAGATCAGAACGTTACGACAACAAACAACAACAAAAACACGATATTAATGCAAATTAAACGTAAGGAAATCACTGACAAAAATATACATATGAAACTAAACTCTTTGGTTCTTTCGGTAAAGTCACGTAGGTATAAACTAGAATAAAATACCTACGTGACTTTACCGAAAGAACCAAAGAATTTGGATTCCTGCAGTTTACGAAAGCTTCAAATCAAGATTAAAACTAAACTCATTTTTTATTCTGCCTAGTAAAAGTCCACTGAGCTGTGAGCTTGTTTTTTTTTTCAGACGCGACCTGGCAACAAGCGATTGCTCGACAAAGAGGCCTTGTTATCACGTGGAAATGTACAGCAGCCAAATCACCTAAACAATCTAAACGCGTTGGAAACATGTGTGCGCGCCTTCGTCACGTTCGCCTTAGCACGCGCTTGCTTCAATGAGTCCCAAGCTGTTAACGACTTCGCCCGGTATATAGAGGATGTCTTGGGTTCGATCCCGACCCTGACGCCTGTATATTTGGAGTTTGCCTGTTCTCAACGTGGTCGCGTGGATTTTTCTCCGGGTCCTCCTCGGACTTTTTTTCCCTCCGCGTGTTTGAATCACCGTGCGGTTTTTTTTAGAGTATTTGGCTGCTATAAATTTCCACGTGATAAGCCGCTTTGTTAAGCTAAGAGCTGTGGCCAGGTCTCTTCTGAAAAGGAGCTGTATAGCTCAGTGGGCTTACCGGGCGAAATGAAAATCTACTTTCGTTTAATAGTTTTTACTCCGCACAGTTAGGAACTCCTTCAGCATTGCGTTCTCCTCCGCTTACAATTACGCCGTTCCACACACGACACGCGGCCCATTCGTACGCAGGCACTTTTATCATTTGTCAAAACTATCACGCGGTGACTTATGCGAAAACGTGGTCCGCATAACTCCCACACGCGGAGGGCGGGGGGGGGAGGATTGGGGGCTTGGCACATTGCCAAGTTTATGGAAGGGCATTTTTGGCCCATATTTCACTGTGGGCAAGACAACCAATATTTACGGATGATACGCCCGCGGAATGAAATACGGAGTGTGCTGCCGGTAAAAGTAGCCCCCCCCGTTTTGGATTTTTTTTTTCATCCTGCCAAAAGTTAAAGATGGTAAAAAGGCGCGGCCCCTGAAATTCCCTGCTCACGCTCAACGCTGACGGAAGGCCGCCTCCATCGGAGTGGAAGCCCTTCCCAGAGGAGGATACATGGTCATTTTTTCGTCCAAGCTGGCAGATGGCTGGGAAGAGATGGGAGTTCCCCACGCCGTACCCCACCATACGTAAACAAACTAAACGATGGTTTCATTTTACCATGTTAGGCCCACTGAGCTGTGTAGCTATTTTTCAGAAACGACCTGGCCACAAATGATAGCTCAAGGAAGTTAGCTGGCTTATTCAGTGAATATATGTGGATATGAAAAACCGGATGAGAAAGATTTCATGCGACCACGGGAAGAGAGATCTGCAAACTCCAAATATACAAGAGCCGTCGACGACCTCCTGCATGCCAGGCGAGGTAGTTAATACCTCGCCACACGCGACCCGCTGATCATAGACTAACGAAGGTGTAACCCAGTAGTCTTCATTGCAAGGCCCGTGGGCCACTGCCAGCCTCTTCGTGGCCTTTAGTGCAGCCCCCAACAATACACGAATGGTGACAACACCGCCCCAGCATCATCATCATCATCATCAAATTCGTGCTGCTGTCAAACCCCCAACGGTTTCAAACGTGTGACAGCCCTCACACTGGCGATGTCGTATCGGCGAAAGTGGCCCCCCTCTGCACGTGAGTAAAGAACACTGACGTGTAACCCATTGACACTGCTGGGTGGACAGAAGCGGTGGGGGCGGGGGTAGAGTTCCGTTTAAAACTCGCTCATTGTTTCTGCTGCCGCGACGGGAGATCGAACAACGGCCACAGGGTCAAGGTACGCCGGACGCGAGCGGTGTGTGTCAGTGGCCGTGGCCGTTGTTTGACCATACTTCACTACGCTGGCCGTGTTGTAGATCATTTGGTGGCTTTGTCGCAACGGCGAGGTGTTTGATGAATGATTTGTGTGTGTGTGTTTGTTTCAAACTGTAGGTGCATGCGTCGTGTATCATGATAATAATTTTAAAAGAATAATATATAGCCCCTTGTCAAGTCATTGCTGGATGAATGACTTCACACACCGTGTCAGTAATGGGGGGCTTTAGAACCATACTTCACACCGTGCCGATCAGTACAGTGTGTTCCTATAACGACGCGGGAACGCAAGAGACCACCGGGATGTTTCGTTTGGGAGAGTGAACCGGGTCTCTCCAAAATGACAACATAAACCATCAAATTGTAATCAAAATAATGAGGTGCGGTCATGACGCAAATAGACATCGGAGCAAAAACAACCGATATCACTCATCGCTGATGTCACCCGTGTCTGGGAATTTTAACTCGGATCGCTGCGTAAGCGGCACAATGTGGTAATAACACTGGTGCCAGCGCCTCCCTCGTTAGCAACAACAACAACAACTGGCGGAGAGAGATGGACAAGATTGAGCACGGAGTGGATACCGAGTTGAGACGGTGACAGAAGCAAATTGAAGACAACAAGTGGCGAGACGATGTCACACGAGTCCGGAGGCCGCTCCTGGGAGCTCTGACGAAGGACCACTGCCTGGAACGTCGCCGATTATATCCTCTTCCTTGTAAGGCCACCACCGCACACACAGGTGTTATTTTTTGTCGAACGCGCTGAGTTTGAAATAAAGCCAGGAATGGGGAGAGAAACAAGAAAATTAGGCGGCAGCTCTTGCCCAAGTTGTGGGAAAGTTGCAAGCT